TGCATCATTGGTATGCAGTGATTAATTTTGGCTCATGCTTCCCCTTTTTCCTCTTTTTCTTTTTTTCTGAATTTTTTTTCTTATACCCAGAATACGCCGAACATGCTCAGTGGGTCAAAAACCAGTGTTTATATCTGAGACAGATTTAGGCCTTAATACATGACACATAGGTGTTGTGGGGATGAAATTATTTGTTTTAGTACACCACCTCAGAACAGTGATTAATTTTGGCTCATGCTTCCCCTTTTTCCTCTTTTTCTTTTTTTCTGAATTTTTTTTCTTATACCCAGAATACGCCGAACATGCTCAGTGGGTCAAAAACCAGTGTTTATATCTGAGACAGATTTAGGCCTTAATACATGACACATAGGTGTTGTGGGGATGAAATTATTTGTTTTAGTACACCACCTCAGAACCAGCATAAAGATAGTTCACTTTATGAAGCTTGTAAGCTTAGCACTTCAGAAGCTTGGAAATCATCCATTATGTCACACTTTATCGACCTGTATAAAGTCCACTGAGCAAATATCTACTTTTATTCCCATTTAACCCCAACAGTTGGCTGAACTGCAGAGATTGTATTATTGTCATCAAAATGTCTTGGTATATATAAAAGAAAAACAATGAACATCAATTAATTTTCCTTATACTTAAATACTAACAATTTAAGGGAACACCCATGACCTCACAAGGGGTTTGAAACACTGATAAACAGTGAGGTATACCATAAGTGACGTGTGTAACCCTTATGGAATTTTGAGAGATGTTTGGATACTTGTCTCAGATACACTGATTATCTCTCAGAATAGCAACATACCAAGTTTTGTTCTATTGCCCTCCTACACAGTCTATGTAAAGAAATGTACACTCAGAGGTCTTTTAGGAAATTACTATTTTTGCTTTGTTTGGTTGTAGTGTGTAATAAAAACAGTTCCCCAATCAGAACTAGAGAGCATAGACCTGACCAAAATATATTAGAGGATGTGGGGATGTCCTTGGAGAGCTTTCTCTATATTGCCCTGTAGTCTGACGCAGACTGAGATTACTTGTGGTACCAATAAACTCCCTAAAAGTAATTGGGATCTTTACAAATGAAATGACAGAGACAAAAGATGGGTACAGAGTTTAAAGAAAAAAATAGCAAATAACAGACAAGTAAAAATGTCCCAGTGTACTACATGAAAAAAAAAAGAAAACAGTCAATTTGACAAAATAAAAACAATAGCACTTCTTTAAAAGTGTTTTGCCCTAAAACTGTGATGGATTAACTCAACAGTTGTTTTAAAATTGTATTGTTGCTATAAAAGGCATGTCAAGCTTAGAAATGTTTAGAAGAAAGCATGAAGACAAATGCCATCTATGAACATGTGGAGTCTCCACTGATTAAGGCTTCATGGCTAAAGAGAAAGTCAGTAATAGAAGAAATCCTTTTTCAGTCAGTCCAAATAGCAATGGTGTTTGCGAAATGCTAAGGAAAAATAGTCTGTAAAGGTAAAATCCAGAATGATATTGGACAAATTAATTTACACGAATTAAAGTCCTACTTTAGGAAGGATTATTTGCTTTTGGAAAAGGTAGTGTGATAAAATTTAGTGGTAACAGTTGAAAAATAATGCACATGGAAACAAAAAGAAAAAAAAGACAACATGCCAGTTCAGTGCTCAGCTCATGTACTGAAGCCAACAGAACGTTAAGGCTGATGAGAAGAGGTTTAATAGAGAAAGAAGAAAATATTGGGTGATGCTGTGCATTAGGGATGTGCCTCTGTTGTAATACTTCATGCAGTTTTTATCAACTCCTCTGAAACAAGAGATGGTGTAGGATGGAAAAGTACGTGGAATTATGAGAAGCATTACAAAGTCTGGAATTGCTTTCATATAAGGAGATACTAAATGTGGTAAGTGTCTACAGTTTCAAACTAGATGATCTCTACAGTCCCTACCCAAACCATTCTATGATTCTATGAAATGCCTAAATAAGCAAAAAGTAATCACTGGTCCTTATAACTCAGAAATTTGGGGTAACATAGTGAACTATCGAGCAGCAAGTTCCATGTTTTAAAAATATTTTTTTCCTTCACATAAATAAATTGTGGAATTAATTTTCACAATGTCACGATTGTCACAATAATTTCATTAACTATACCAATCAAGAATTCATCCCACAGACTTTCCATTTTGAGATCTTGCAGATCTTCTAGATCTAGGAGACCTTTAAGTATAATATAAAGTGTAGACAATAAAAATGTGCATGGATTTTGGAAATGTTCTCTAGAGTTCTCCGTTGAAATAGAGGAACTCATATAACCAGCTGGACCTCCAAAAGCATTGCTCAGAAAGCTGCATCTGTTTCTTGTGACTACCTCCTTGGTTCACAACCAAAATGTATGGTTATTGTACATATTCCTGGATACCTACAACCTTGAAACTTTTCAAATTGTACCTGCAATGCAAGAGAAGCAAATATATATTTCTTGATGACATAATTTAGGTACTTTTAAATAATATACGGCAAATTACTGTTTTGAAGGTCAACATGAAGGTCAGAGATGTCTCCCTAAGCTAGGGATAGTTTCCAGTGTGGTCTTAAATGCTGTGATCACTTTTCTTATTGTTCATATGCCAGGCATTGTTTCTTCTCTATGAGAACTTAGATGCCCAAGTTAGCAAAGTCAGTTATCTGCTTCTCCCAGAAATGCTTGTATCTTTTGAGCTGTGGTCATGAGAAAGCTAGAGAAAAGGGTTTGGCTTACTTCCCATCTTAATGAATATGGAAAAATGGCTGTAAAAGTATTTCTTCAGCAAAACAGCAGCCAGTTCCTGAATTAAGAAGTCTGAGGAAACAGAAAACCTGAGAACTTTTAGATAGCTTTCAAAATAATTTTTCTAAGATTATATTTTCCCTATTGACTTATTTATTAAATTAAGAATCCAAAAGTGAGGAGTTAAAATAGCTAAATATATATTCCAGGTCAAGAAGCCACTAGTCAGGTAAGTACTGAGCAAACATATTACTACAAATGAATAGGTTTTGGATGGGGCAAAGAAATTAAACCTGAATGTAGAAAAATAGTGCATTACTAATACATAGCATTTTTTTAATCCTTAATCCCCAGTCATCTCAATTACATCATTACACTTATACATGAGTTTAAGTGCTTGACTCCACATAAATGGTAGTTTTCATGTGTTTAAAGCTGAACAAACACTTTGATAATAACAAAGCAGAGGATAAAGTTCTGCAGAGATTCACTTTGATCCAGTATTTTCCTGCTACTGTGGCCTTAGAGTGTGAAATGCTGATCAATAGTTTGGTTCTTTTACACTTTAAAAAGAGGTGGACCAAGGTGTGGAAGTGCACTGGGAAACAATCCTACAAAGACAAAAGTACTGAGTGGAAATTTTTATACCTAGGACCTTGTTTTATATCTCCATATGAAAGCTAGCAAAAGCAAGTTTCCTGTGTCTCTGTGGAACAAAGTTAATACAGAGAATGTAAATCTATAGGCTTAAAATGACATTTCTGCATATAAAAATGTAGATTTATGTGGGATTTTCAAGGAAAAACTGAGTAGTTTTGGGGTTTTTTTAATGAACCCCTTGGTATGGATCTAAATTAAAGAATTATAACAGAAATAAAGCAATGTATCTCTTTTTGTAAATATGTTGTCAAACAACCTTTCAGACCAGACTTGATTGGTCAGTTATTTTGTAAGACAATGAATATGTGCGTGGAAAAAAAAGCTGGAATAGACAAAAGGATACATATTATGGTTGGAACCTCAGCTGTTGTTTGTCAAAAAGAGAAAGTTCACAGCTGAACCTGCATCCAAGGGCAGGCACATTATCCCATGTCATCTTAGCAGGGCATTCAATCATCTGTTTGGAAGTTCAGCATACATCAGGCTTGCTCCTGAGTTGCACCTGCAGAGATCAGGAATAGTCAAGAATTTTTCTGGTTTCTCACTGAATGACCAAGTGCATCCTCAAGCAAGGGTTCACACATTTCTGCTGCTGTAGATATTTTTCCCTTTATGACTCAGTTAACACCAAGTTATGGAGAACTTGACAGCTTGATAAAAGCTGTGGGAGGTAGAAATGTATTTTTGTGCTCTAGTTATACCTTTAAGGGAATAAATATTTAATTACTTGAGAAATGTTTCCATCTTTTGATAATGTTAGGTGAGGTGTCATAGGTGAATAGCTGTTACCCAATATGATCCTCTCCCTTTGGGTAAAATTTCAAAGTTCCAATGTTGTTTGGTACCTTCTGCATAATAATGGACTTGAAAAGAGCTGAATCATTGCAGAATGTGAAATGTTTATACTTACCTGCTTTATCCCAGCTCACTAAAAATTAAACACAAGGAAGAAAGAGAAATAAAGTAATGTTTCCAACACCTCCTAGAATATTCAGAGGTAATGACTTTGCTGGAGGGATGTGTTTGATCTATTATTTTCTTTTCTTGAATTATTTCATGCAGAAATTATTAAAAAAGGTTCTTTGGCCTGCATTTCCAGGAGGTCACATTAAATTACCTTGATGGCTCTATCTCCTCACTGAACCATAGATTTGGCTGCTAACAGGAGGATAAATGGAAACAAAAAATCCATTATTTAATCTTAAATTCTCATAAAGTGTTTGATTATTTTTCTTTAACTATGTCTATTTTTAGTTATGTGTACTTTCTGTGTGCCTGCATGGACACACAAAAATTCCCAGAAGACACAGAGAAGGCCAAAAAAAAATCTACCAAGTAGTAATCTAGTCCTTGGGAAGCAGGTGTTGCCTTTATTTAACTGGAATATCACAAGACCTTCTCTATGGGACATAATGAATATCTGGAAGATATTCTCTGAAGATCCCAATCCCTGACATTTTGAATATATGTAGATATATATATATGCATAAATAGTGTCCCTCACTACAAGAAAGGCATTGAGGTGCTAGAGCATGACCAGAGAAAGGCA